TTGAGGCCTGATTGACGATGGCAGTCAAAGGACGCAAGGCCACTTGCTAAAACTGTTTGGTAGTGAGTGCTTCTCAGTAGCAACCTTTTTCTCCCTGAAAAAATAGTTTTGTATTTGCCAGCCAACATGGACACTTCTGCTGGGGCCCCCAAATAAAACTCACTGCATTTGGCCAAGCATCCTCTATGCTTTTCGGGACCAGTTACCTTGACCACTGTTTTGCTTTTTCTCTTATTGCAGAGAAAGTCGTCTCGCTCCAGTATCACCTCTGCACGTATTCTTTCTTTTTTATTAACAGCTTTATGTAAACGTAGTTGACATGCAAAAACCATGTACCCATTTAAAGTAGGTGTGATTCACGCTTTTAGATCTACTAACATTTCCCCATCTCAGAATAGGGAATCAGAGGGGTTCATTTCACTCTCCCAGGTATGTGCAGATTCTAGCATTTGATCCCAGGCCATGGTGACTTGGATCTGCTGCTTTTGTATATTGTCCATCCCAAAGGAATCTGCCTGCACATACAGTCTGTTTTAAGTGCAATGATCCTTGCAAAATCCTCCTGAACCTGCAAATCTAATGTAGAGTTGAAAAGCCGACGGTAAAAACTGGGACTAAAAGTTTCATCTGGGAATAAGTTTTCAATATTTAATTTCTTTGCTGTCCTCCGCCAGCAACAATGTCAAGCACTGTCTTTATCATAATACATTTCCAAGAATCTATAAGAAATCTGCTCTACTTGCAGGTTTGTCCACCCGTCCCAAGCGCTTGGACAAATAAAACTAAGGGAATGGAACAAAATTTGGCATTTAGGAAATAACGATAATGTGGAAATTAAATCATTAAGTTCACTTAAGCAAATAATTCCAGTTTATTCATTCAGTGCCCCATATTAGGAGAAACTCGGTAAATGCTGTCATGTTCTTCATTTATTTCATTTGTGCCACCTGCATGAAATCAATGGTGGGTGATAAGCAAATACAAGTAAAGTAACACTGACCACTTCTAGATTTCAGGTCCTTAGTATTTTGTGAAAAGGTCTCCTCACGCCAGGAGACACTGCGCGATCGCAGCTCACTGCCATCTTGACTCTTGGTGTTCAGTGATCCTTCCACTCAGCTCTCCCAAAGGCGGCTGGCCATAAGTCACATGTCACCATACCAAGCACTATTATTATTATTATTATTATTATTATTGTAGAGAAGGGATTTCACCATTCTGCCCAGGCTGGGTTCACTTTTGATAGTAAAGGATATCTCAAATATTTAGACATTGCTTTCAGTTTGGTCATTTATGAATACAGCTATTAGAAACCTTCCTCTGTTTGAAAACAGAATTTCTTAAAATGTTACTGAGGAAATACTTCGATTATGATTACTTGCTTAAAGGGAAATAATTATAATTTTCTTTGTTTTTGGTAGAATCTTTATCAGTGAAATCATCTGAATATAAATAAGCTGAGTTTCTTGAAAAGATATTAATCATTGATTGAATATTCAAAATTTCAAAAAATAATTATAGACCCATTCAGATGACTTCTCCCGAGGACTTTTGGTCTTCTAAAAATAGATTTTATAAATTCGTTCATTTCATCTACTGTGTAACCAATTGTGAGCAGCGATGTGTTCAGAATATTCCTCTTTATTATTTACTATTTTTTGATTTTGGATTCCTCTTAACTACAATATTATTAGTATAAATGTACTTTTCTTCCTCAGGTAGCCAAGGTAGGGAGTTTATCAATGTTACTGATCTTCTTTTCAAAGAACCGGCTTTTGGTTTTGCTTGATATTTTCTGGACTTCCTGTTTTGTATTCTATTGTATTCTGTCACATGATTTATTTATCATCTGTTCTGGCGTGCCATATTGCAGCTGTTTCTTTTCTCCATTGCCAAGGTGAAGCTTTAGATTATGAATTAAGATTTGACATTATACAAAGTATATCCTGAATAACTCATGGAATGTAATCTCATTAAAATGCAATAATTTCATAATTAAAATGATAAAGATGTGCTTCTACTACAACTTGAAAAATGCTGCCCAGGGTAGATGATAAACATGGTGTGTGGTATGTAGATCTGCAATAGAAGTGAAACATCTTGTAACATTTCATAAAACTGGGGATTGCCTGACCTTCACTGGGAGGGAGGACTTAAGATGCTGCTGCTGAACCATACAGTGCCTTTCTGTATTAACCGGTTCTTTAAGGTGACTATTTCGCTATTGATGAGGGTTATAGCTGGAAGCAAGGTTTCTTCTTTTCTGCCCTCTCTCCTTTGCCTGCCTTCGACACCAAGGAGAATGTCCTGCAGCATCTCTCAGCCCATGCTTGTCAACCAACCGCCCACTTGCATACACTCCATACACCCCAGGTTCCTTGTGGGATTCCTCAGCAACACCAATGAATGACCACTCACTCTGTAAGTTTTCAGATTCCGATGAAGATCTGCAGGAACTGCCCAGAGTGGCGTGAGAATATGAGATCGAACCTAAAGCACATATTTTGGAACAGAAAAATGTTGTTCTTTTTCTGGGGTCACTGTAGAGGTTATGACCAACTGAGGCCTGATTATCGATGGCAGTCAAAGGACGGTGCCCACTTCTTACAAACTGTTGTAGTGAGTGTATTTCTCAGCAACCTTTTCTCCCTGAAAATAGTTGTGTATTTGCCAGCCAACATGGACACTTGTTAAATAACTCCCAAAACCTACAGTGCATTTCCACAAGCATCCTCTATGCTTTTCGGGACCAAAGGGACTCGAGATCAACAAGTTTTGTCGGTTTTTTCTCTTATTGCAGAGAAAATGAACACCCAGTGTCACCTCTGCAGCTTATTTTTTATTTAACAGCTTTATTTAATCAGAAGCGATATGCAAAAACAAAATTCCATTTAAAGTAGGTGATTCAGCAAGTGAGATCCACCAACATTCCCCTTATCCTGCAGTTAACAGGGAACTGAGGCACAGAGGGGTTCACTCTTCTTTACTTCCCAGGTATATGTGCAGATTCTGGGCAGCATTTGATCCCAGGCCATTTCTTGGTGACTTGGATCTGTTGCTTTTGTATATTGTCTCATCTAAACAAAGGAATCTGCCTGCACATGAAGGTCAGTTTTTAAGTGTGAATTTCACTTCTTTGCAAAACTCCCAGAACCCACCTATCGGTAGAGCTGAAAAGCCGACGGTAAAAAAACTGATCAAAAGTTTTTCCGAATAAGTTTTTAAAATTTCTCTGCTGGGTTCCCGCAACAATGTCAAGCACTGTCTTTATCATGGCATACATTTCTAAGAATCTATAAGAAATCTGCTCTACTTCCTTGCAGGTTTGCCACCTGTCCCAAGCGCTGACAAACAAAACTACGGAAATGGAACAAAATTTGGCAATTTAGAAATAACGATAATGTGGAACAAACTAATAAGTTCACTTAAGCAAAGACCTTGTTTATTCATTCAGTGCCCCACATGGTAAAACTCGAAATGCTGTGTGTCATGTTCTTCATTTATTTCATTTGAGCTAATTTATGCATTAAATCAATGGTGGGTGATAAATACACAAGTAAAGTAATTGACCACTTAGATTTCAGTTGTTTTTTTTAGTATTTTACTTTTTTTTGTGAAAAGGTCCCTTGTCACCCAGGGAGTGCAATTGGTGCGATCACAGCTCACTGCGATGGGACTTCCCCAGGTTCAGGTGAGATCCTCACCCAGCCTCCTGGGCGCTGGCCAAGTCACATGCCACTAGACCAAGCACTATTATTATTATTATTATTATCATCATTATTATTATTATTATTGTAGAGAAGGGATTTGACATTTGCTTTCAGATTGGCCAATTATGAATACAGCTATTAGAAACCTTCCTGTGTCTTGTAGGTTTGGAAACACACTTTTTAAAATGTAACTGAGGAAATACTGGATTATGATTACTTGTTTGTATGGTAAGACTATTTCTCTTGTAAGAATTTTGGTAGAATTTACTCAGTGAAATCATATCTGAATTATAGTGTTTTAGTTTTTTTTGAGAGATGAGCAATTGATTGAAGACTTAAATTTAAATAAATATAGGCCTATTCAGATGATCTCATTTCTCCTGGAGGAGGGCTTCTAAAAATAGATTTTTAAAATTTAGCTCATCATCTATCCAGCTGTGAGCACAGATGTGTTCAGAATATTCCTTTATTATTTGCCATTTTGGAGACTCCTCTTAAACTAATATTATTAGTATACTGTGACTTCTTTCTTTCCTTTGTGGTGGAGCTGTAGAGGTTACCAATGTTACTGATCTTTTCAAAGAACCGGCTTTTGGTTTTGTTCATATTTTCTGGACTTCCTGTTTTCTATTCTATTGTATTCTGCCATCATGATTTATTTATCATCTGTTCTATGTTACACTGCTGTTTTTCTCCTCTACTACCCAAGGTAAAGGCTTGGGGATTATAAATTATGAATGTATTTTTCTCATTATTGACACAGTATCCTGAATGTAACTCATTGAATGTAATCTCATTAAAATGCACACTTCATAATTAAAATGATAAAGATGGGCTGCTTTAGTACAACTTGAGAAATATATCAGGGTAGATCAAATATGCCGCAGGTGATTCACAGAAGCTGAAAATGATCTTGTAACATTTCATAAAACTGGGGATTTGCCTGACCTTCAAAATGGGGAGAGGTAGGATGCAGATGTGTCGCTGAACCATACAGTGCCTTTCTGTATTAAACTGTTCTTAAGGTGTGACTATTTCACATTGATGAGGTTGTCCTAGCCAGAAAGCCAAGGCTCTTTCAATTCTTTTTCTGCCTCTCCTTTGCTCTGCTGAGCACTATGAGAATGGTCCGCAGCATCTCAGCCTATGCTTAAGTCAATAACTGCCACACTTGCATACAATTTTGCTACACACCCAGGTTCCTTGTGGATCTCTCAGCAACAATTAATGCACTGTAATTTCACTACCTGGTGTCTCCCAGATCTGATGAACATCTGCAGGTGTTCCCACATGGCGGAGGAGAATACGGGATCAGAACTTGTAAGATGTATTTCTTTCTCTGGAAGAGAAATTCTTTTTTTGTTTGGTTTTTTGTTTTTTCTGGGGCTTCTAGACTATCAAGTGAATATCATTTTTGACTGCCATCATGGATCAGGCCTCAGTTGGTCATGAACTCTAGCGACCAGTCGCTGGAGGTTATGACCAACTGAGGCCTAACTGACGATGGCAGTCGAAGGATGGCACCACTTACAAACTGTCTGGTAGTGAGTATGTTTCTCAGTAGCAACCTTTTCTCCTTGAAAAATAATTTTGTATTTGCCAGCCAACATGGACACTTGCTAAATATAACCAAAAAAACCCCACTGCATTTTCCACAAGCATCCTCTATGCTTTATTTGGTGGCCAGTGACTTGATCACTGCTTGACGTCCGGTTTTTTATTTCAGCAAGTGAATAAAAGGCCTTTGCCAACAGAACCCAGCATCATCTGATCTTCATGGTGTTTCTTTTTCTTTTCTCTTTTTGCAGGAATTATCTACAGCTGAGTATGACGACCGTACGTATTTAAAAAAAAAAAAAAAACCAGCTTTGTTTAGATGTAGTTGACATGCAAAACAATTCACCCATTTAAAGTAGGTGATTCAGGGTTTTTACTATATTTACACGGTTGTGCAACCATTGTTATAATCTCATCTTAGAACCTCTTTATTATCCCTCAAAGAAACCCCACTAGTAGTCACTCCTCTGTCTTTCCCAACTCTTAAGATGACTATTTCACATTGATGAGGTTGCCCTAGCTAGAAAGCCAACGATCTTCCATTTCTTTCTGCCCCTGTCCTTTGCCTTCCTTCAACACCAAGGAGAATGGTCCAGCAGCAGCTCAGTCCATGCTTGTCAACCGCCCCCCTCCATACACTGCAGCCCTGGTCCACATCCCCCAAGGCTCCTTGTGGGATTCCTCAGCAACACCAATGCACTGACTGTCACTCTGTGTTCTCCTAGGTCCTGTGGAAGATCTGCAGGAGCCTGCCCATGGCAGTGCGGAGGATATGAAATCAGAACTTGTAAGACGTATTTCTTTCTCTGGAAGAGAAATGTTTTTTTTGTTTGGTTTTTTGTTTTTTCTGGGGCTTCTAGACTATCAAGTGAATATCATTTTTGACTGCCATCATGGATCAGGCCTCAGTTGGTCATGAACTCTAGCGACCAGTCGCTGGAGGTTATGACCAACTGAGGCCTAACTGACGATGGCAGTCGAAGGATGGCACCACTTACAAACTGTCTGGTAGTGAGTATGTTTCTCAGTAGCAACCTTTTCTCCTTGAAAAATAATTTTGTATTTGCCAGCCAACATGGACACTTGCTAAATATAACCAAAAACACCCCACTGCATTTTCCACAAGCATCCTCTATGCTTTATTTGAGTGGCCAGTGACTTGATGCTGTGACGTCGGTTTTTATTTCAGCAAGTGAACAAAAGGCCTTTGCCAACAGAACCCAACATCATCGATCTTCATGTAGTGTTTCTTTTTCTTTTCTCTTTTTTGCAGGATTTATCTACGGCTGAGTATGACGACGTCATTATTTAAAAAAGAAAAAAACCAGCTTTGTTTAGATGTAGTTGACATGCAAAACAATTCACCCATTTAAAGTAGGTGATTCAGGGTTTTTACTATATTTACACGGTTGTGCAACCATTGTTATAATCTCATCTTAGAGCCTCTTTGTTACCCGTCAAAGAAACCCCATAATGCTCTGTCTTTCCCAACTCTTAAGATAGCTATTTTCACATTGATGAGGTTGTCACCTGGCTAAGCCTAGGATCTTTCATTTCTTACTACCCCTGTCCTTTGCCTTCCTTCAACACCAGAATGGTCCAGCAGCTCAGTCCATGCTTGTCAACCACCTCCATACACTCCGGCCGAGTCCACATCCCCAAGGCTCCTTGTGGGATTCAAGCAACACCAGTGCACTGACCGTCACTCTATGTTCTCCTAGTTTCTGATGAAGATCTGCAGGTGCTTGCATGGTGGCACGGAGGATGTGGAAATCCAGAACTTGTAAGGCGTATTTCTTTCTCTGAGAGAAGAAATTTTTTTAGTTTTGTTTTGTTTTTCTGGGGCTTCTAGACTATCAAGTGAATATATATCATTTACATTTTGACTGCTGTCATGGATCAGGCGTCAGTTAGTCATAGACTATATGGCAGTCCACCTAAATTATAGCCAACTGAGGCCTGATTGACAATGGCAGTCAAAGAACAGCGTCTTACAAACTGTTTGGTAGTGTAGTGTATTTCTCAGTAGCAACCTTTTCTCCCTGAAAAAAATAGTTTTGTATTTGCCAACCAACGCATGGACACTTTAATATTCCCAAAAAAAAATCCCTGCATTTTCCACAGCATCCTCTATGCTTTCGTTCGGGAGCCAGTGAAGCCTGATTACTGTTTTTGTTTGTTTGTTTGTTTTTCTCTTGTGCAAGAGCAATTCCGAAAAAACCCAGTCTCAACTCTGTACATCCTTCTTTTTTTTTAACAGCTTTATTTAACGTAGTTGACATTACCAACAATTTACTCATTTAAATTAGGTGATTCTGTGTCTCTACTCTATTTACGATTATGCAACCATTGTTACAATCTCATCTGAGAACCCACTTTATTCCCCTCAAAGAAACCCCACTAGTAGTCACTCTGTCTTCCCGCTCCCACACCCCTGGAGTCTAGGCAGCCTCGAATCTACTTCCTGTTTCTATAGTGCAGTGCCTTTCTGTATGCCGGTTCTTAAGGTGAGCTATTTCATTGATGAGGTTGCCCTAGGTAGAAAGCCAAGGCTCTTTCATTTCTTTCTGCCCCTCTCCTTTGCCTGCCTTGACACAAAGGACAGGTCACTTGAAAAGCTAAGTCCATGTTAGTCAACGACCCACCTCCACCTCCAGCAGTCCACACATCCCAGGCTCCTTGATTCCTCAAGCAGCACCAGTGCACTGACTGTCACTCTATACACCTAGATTTGATTAAGTCTCAGTGAGATATCATGGTAGTCTTAGAATCTCATGACATTGGAAGATGCATTTCTTTGTCTGAAGAAATGTTTGCTCCTAGTTCCTCTTGCCTTATTAATGAAATGAGAATGCAGAAATCGACCAGAAAAGTACAGATTATAAGAAGGAAGTACAATTTTTTTGTTGGCTGGAATATCAAGGGAATACCATATTTGATGGCTGTCGTCCATCAGGTCTTAGTTGATCAGGACTCTAGTGACTGGTCACTGGGTTATGACCAACTGAGTCCTGTTGGATGATAATTAGTCAAAAATGAGAGCATCACTTAGAAACTATCTTGTAGTGAGCATATTTCTCAGTAGTAACTTCTTGAAAAATATTTTATAACCATTTGCCAGCCAACATGGACTTGCTAAATATTCCATAAGCAATTGCCTTTCCACAAGCATCGTCTATGCTTCATTCTTGGGGGACAGTGACTTGATCACTGTTTGACATATTGTTTGTCACAAGTGAATAAAGATCTGTGCTAGCTGGGCGCGGTGGCTCACGCCTGTAATCCCAGCACTTTGGGAGGCCGAGGCAGGCGGATCACGAGGTCAGGAGATTGAGACCATCCTGGCCCCAACAGGTGACCCCATCTGTACTAAAAAATACAAAAAATTAGCTAGGCGTGGTGGCGGAGCACCTATGAGTCCCAGCTACTCGGGAGGCTGAGGCAGGAGAATGGCGTGAACCCGGGACGTGGAGCTTGCAGTGATCAAGAGCGCGCCACTGCTTCAACCTGAGTGACAGAAGCGAGACAAATCAAAAAAAATAAAAGATCTGTGCCAAGCAGGACTCCATAATGATCTGATCTCTTAATTATTTTCCTTTCTCCTATTGCAGGCAAAGGAAAGCCAAAAGCTTACCTCTGTAAGTGTGTGTGTGTGTGTGTGTGTGTGTGTATTTTGTTTGTTTTTTTATTTGAGGCGAAGCCTTGTTCTTTTCCTAGGCTGGGCTGAGATGGCAGATCTCGCTCAAGAATCCCCCAGCTCCCAGGTTCGAGGACTTCTCCGTCCAGCGTCCCAGTAGCTGGGTTCAGGTACCACCACCCCCAGCTACCATCATTTTTAGCCTATTTCCATCTGGCTGAAAAAAATATACATAAACCCCTTTCTTTTCCTACTGAGCACCTGTGAACAGTGACCTGCAGTTGTGGCTGTAGCCAGTCCTCATGGGCCGGTGTTCTTACATTTCATTCTGAGGTTCACATTCTCCAGTCACACTGGAGAACACCGCCCCATCCTGGGTCATTACAGGGTGTGCCCATCCATCTGCTGCATCTGAGCTGGGTCAGCCCCTGGTGAATCCATATGTTCTGTGTTTCCTGGATAAGGGAAGAGGAAGGCTGAGCTGGGGAGGAAAAGAGAGGTAATATTAACTGACTCCTTATTTTGTGCCAGGCACTGTACTAGTTACATATCCTTTTATCTCATGTAATTCTTACCAAACAGTAAGGGGGTTGGGAGTAATCAAGAGACAATACTGTTACCTCCATTTTAGGGTGAGAAAATGAAGGCTCAGAAAGGTTAAATAACTTGCCCAAGGTCACTCAGTTGCTAAGAGCCAGGATATGAAACAGAAGCTTTATATTAGATGGATCAAATTTATTTTCAATTTCCCTGCTCCATTCTGAATATGCATTGGCATTTACCCTTGGGCTATGTAGGACAAGTGCTTTGTCACCAAAACACCTATTGTGAACTCTTTCTGCCTAAACCCTTGATTCTTCATTTTTATCTTCTTCAAACTAAAAACCTTTAAAGTCGGGAACTTGCCATACAGACTCTCAACTTAAGAAGCCTCAGCCACTTTTACCTAAAATTCAGACTCGTGTAGATCTCTAGAAGACTTGGTGGACTAATCTTTAGAGTTCGTTTATAGAAGGAAGAGAGGCAAATTTGGACAAAGTCACACGCATTTCTTAGAGTTCCTCCAGCCCAGTCTGAGTGGTAGAAATCAGGAACTGAAAATAAATCTGAAAGTTATTTGAAATCGTAGTAGACATGGGAACATAATATACTGGGGGCTTGTGTTATAATGACTATTTTTCTATTTTTAGTATTTTGTATTTTTAGTAAGTGAGGTTCCCGTGTTAGCCAGGCTGGTCTAGAACTCCTGATCTCAAGTGATCCCCCCACCTCAGCCTCCCAAAGTGCTGGGATTACAGGCGTGAAGGCTACCGTGCCCCTGCCCACTGTAAGTGTGTATATATATGGCAAATATATGTACATATGGCTGGGCATGTTGTTCGCTGTCCAGCACGTGGTGGATCACGAGGTCAGGAGATTGAGACCATCTGCTAACACAGTGAAACCGTCTCCCAAAGCCTGGCCAGGGTGGTGGCGGGCACCTGTGGTCCCAGTTACTCCGGAGGCTTAGGCAGGAGAAGGTGTGAACCCAGGAGGCAGAGCTTGCAGTGAGCCGAGATCGCCACTGCACTCCAGCCTGAAGCAGTGAGACTCTGTCCAAATATATATATAAACTATATTATATATAATATAGTATATAACA